GCTTCCTGTTTTTTGTGGTACTGTTTCTTCCTTTCAGTGGAAAGAAAATGAAGATAAAGTCAGATTTTGGCATGTATTTTCATGCTAATGGAAAGCTGTATGATATGAGAAGTTTGTGAGAAACTAACTAAAAGAAAGAATCTGATTGCAATAACAAATCTGCTGGCTAAAACGTAACCTTTATTTGGTCTACTGTTTATTTTTTCCAGAGTTTTAACTGTTATCTTGTTTGCCTTGCTATGAAATAGCAAGCACAGTTCTTGGGAGCATTATTGAAGTATTAATATATGATTATTTGGGATGATAAAAATGTATGTATCTGTGGCTTCAGTACATGGGTTATACAGATACTTGAGTTGTCAAGTTTTCAAAATACTGGGAAAGTATGTCATGAGATTTTGGCAAGGCATGGAAGAAGCTTGCCACTTAGTGTGGCTCACTGCCAAGTTTTGACTCCATTCTTCAGCTGACACCAAATTGCTGAAAATTTCATCTGTTGGATATGGGAAGGCATTCAGCAGATAAACAATCCTCTTTTCAAACTCAGGACTGTTTGTGTTATGCACATTTATGGCATACTGTCATACAAAATATGAAATCTGATGTGTGTATATCAGATTCTTGAAAATCAGTTAAATCAAGAATCTAGCATTTTTAAGCTGCAAGTGAACAGTCTTAAGGCATGGGCAAATTCCCATGGTGGGAATAAATGGAACAATCTTTTTTTCCCCATCCACCTACATCAGGAGCAGGCAGTGGAGTGCTCATTGACACAGTATGCCCACAGATGCCTCCTGTAGTCACTTCATTTTCCCTGCCCCTCCTAACTTTTAGACGCCTTTCATTAAACAATAGTTGAGAGTTGGTGTGTAGCAAAGGGCCAGCCTCTACCGTTACCTTTATTTCTAAAAATGCCTCTGGGTCACCTGTGGACTCTCTAGGCATTCTTAGAAAATAATTTTTAAAAATGATGGGTGGTTGTAGCCCAGGGCTTTGGTTAGAACAAAACGTATGCTGGGAAGAGTATCCTGGAGAGCTAAAAGGAAGTGGGGAGCAGTTCCATTTCTGGTAATGATTTTTGGCTATGCTCAGCAGAATAGCTATTTTATTACTAGGTATGTGCTCCTTACCCCACTGGCAGCATATGGCTGATCTCCATTTTTTATCCTCTTACAAAAATCATTATATTTGGGCACATCATATACCTGGAGATCCTAAATCTAAATTTTAGTCTAAGTCCAGGACTAGAATTGTGTTGTTCTTTTAATGTGTGGAATCAATGATCTGGAGGACATGAACTAGTCCTCATGTAGAAAAGCATAATGGTACAGTATTGATCTGCTACAGTTGTATTTCTGCCTAACCAGTAACATTTTTGCTGGTTTATATGGGCACCCTTTTGCCATTACAAGGAAGAGATTCAAAGGTAAGCTATTTTCCACATTTATAGCTTATCCTTCCTCCAAGGAATTCAAAATAGTAAAGATAGTGTGCCCCCCACCCATTTTTCCACATAATAATCATGTTCCAAGGTAGGTTAATCTGGGGTCACACAGCTTCATGAATACATTTCAGTCTATTTTCTACTTACATCAATTTTGCGTATGTTTGGTTATAGACTTCTTCTTTCTGCAATTTATTCATTTTTAACTGTGCAAAATCATTTAAACTGCATATATGTTTGCTCATAAAATAAAAACTTTTGCATGGGATTTCCCACAATTTATACTACTGTATGTAGTTTTCCATATGTATATGTAGAAATCTGTGTGTGTGTGTGGAGGGGGGTAAATAAAAATAACATCATACCTAAGGCACATTCTGAGCTATGGACTAGTCCAAGAGATATGAAATAGGTTGGTTTGCCACCCTCCCAAAAAGTCTGTATTTAGTTTCCAGTCTTAAACTGAAGGTTACCCCACATCAGTGTGTCCACTTTAAACAGGCAGTTTTGAACAAATATACTGGGAGGTGTTGGAAAATGGGGGAAAACCTTTCTGAGAGATGAATCCTTCTATGAAGGAGCATTTTGATTACAGTTGTTGACTTGCCATTATCACAGGATTGTTTATATTCTTTGCAGTCAAAAGAGAGAGAAAGATGCCTCCTTAGTTTCCGTTCCTTCTTTACTCCCAGATTGCATATCTTTGTCCCTGGAGAAGAAAGTTGGGAATCTAATGGCTAGTGTTTGATGTGCTGTTGTTTGATGTGCACAATCTCTGAAGGAGGGGTCAAGGCCTGTATAGAGATCTTGTGGAATGTTAGGAGATACAGTGGAACAAAGGATGATCAAAAAGGTCATGATCAAAAGAAAAAATGCCACAATTTTTTTTCCAGAAGTTGATTTATCTCATACATTCTGTCTCTACCTCATCATGCAGTTTTAAAGCCACTGACTTTGATTTTAACTCTGGCAGCTGAGATGTAGACTAGCCCTCACTTTGGTGGGGAATGCTGGCTAGATCACAGATATAGTGTAAGATAATTACTATTTCTTATTGGATACTCCTTCACTGTGATCTTAGTCATAGCCTCCAGTTTTAGGATGCAGAGATGGGGACTAAACACATGATGTGACTAACCCAATAAAGGTGTTCCCAGCAAAACATCATGTATTCTTTAAGTTTATTAGCTGATCAACAACTAAAATGTAGGATGTGTTCTTATTCCTTAAACAAGATGATAGTTACTTTCCCTTGTCACAGGTAATCACAAATAGAAAACACACACATAGTGTAAGTCAAGAATGGCTCTTCTGATCAGTGTCAGAAGAGGCAAACCCTCCCAAGATGTGAGGCTGAGTTTTATATCCTCTTGAATATTTACTATCATTTCCTCCCATACCACTGTATGCTCTACAAGGTTCTGCAGAAATAGCAGGAAAAGAAATCTATTATAGTCTTCTAAACTAAGTCATTAAAGTAGAAGGCCAGAAAAGGCAACTTAATTTAACAATGGGTAATATTCTGAAAATCCGAGCATTGAACATTTGGTGGGGGAGAGGGAGGGCAGAGTCCTATTATCTGGGCCAATGAAGTAAAATGAATAGAGTAGTATCACCTGAGTGTCTGCGCAGAGATGCAAAGCAGATGGTTTGGGCTTTTACATTTTTTTCCTTACTTTTTGGAAGGTGATTTTCTATGCTAAAAAGAACATTAGTCTATTTTAGAAACTTTCTGTGGGCCAGAGGAGTAGGTGCCTCTTCCACCTACTGACCTAGGGTGAAGTAGTCAATTGCAGGACTTTAGGAGACTTTCCATCATGTATGCTGGAGAAGGTTCCTGTGGCTTGCTGTTGACTTTTCAGGCATCACTTAGCAGGCCATAGTAGGAAAGAAGAGGTGCACTGCTAACCCCAAATTGGCTTTTTTTAATATTGTGTGTTCCACCTTGCAGCTCATGCCTACTAGTGCTGCCAGTAGATTTACTAAGGTGTGCTATTATTGGTGCCTCCTGAAAGGTTTTATGGGTAGTTCTCAGGTTATGACCACTCGTTCAGCGACCATTCAAAGTTACGACAGCACTGAACAAGGGGCACTTACGACTGGTCCTCGAAGTTTCAGCCGTTGCAGCGTCCCTACGGTCACATGATCATGATTCAGGTGCTTGGCAACTGGCTTGCAATTATGAAAATTGCAGTGTCCCATGGTCACGTGATTGCTATTTTCAACCTTCCCTGCCAGCTTTCCACAAGCAAAGTCAATGGGAATCTAGCAGGAGGTCACAAGTTGCTCCTGTAAATTGCTCCCACCACTTTTTCTGCCAAGGAGCCCCCCCCCCCACAACGGCACCTGCCTACCCGTGCTCCATAGTGCCCACCTGTGGCACTCACCCACCCACCTATAGCTCTTGCCTGCCAGCCTGCTTGCCTGGAACTCTTGCCTCTTCCCATGTTGTGGTCATGTGAGGTCCTTGCTTAGCAACCTGCATGGTCCTCAATTTACAACAGCAACTGGGACTGCTAGGATTGTCATCACTAACTGATGCAGTTACATGATGTCGCACTTTGTGACTGCATCACTTAGTGACAGAATTCTGGTCCCAATTGCCATTGTAACCCAAGGACTACCTGTATTAAACATAAATGCAATATTTCTGTGCCAACTTTAGAGATCTCTTCACCTCCTGAATGGACTACTGTAATGTGTTCTACATCAGGCTGCCCTTGAAGAGTATCCAGAAGCTTCAGCTGGTGCAAAATGTGGCAGCACAGGCAGTTATGTGTGCCCTGAGAAGAATGCATGATACACCTCTTCTGTGAGCTGCATTGGTTACCAGTTTGCTTCTGGGTCCAATTCAAGATGCTGTTTTTGACTTTTAAAGCCCTACATGTCATGGGGCCAGGTTATTTGAGGGACTGCCTCTTCCCAGTTATATCTACCCACCCATCAGGTCCGGCAGGAGAAGCATGCTGTGGGTCCTGTCTGTGAAAGAGTTCCATCTGACGGGACCTAGGAAACAAGCCTTTTTTGCCATGGCACCTGCCTTTGAAGCATCATCCCCTGCCCCCCAGATGAGGTTAGCCCCAACCCTTGTGATTTTCTGGAAATCCCTTAAAACGTGGTTTTTTTTCATCAGGCCTGGGGATCCCCTGGCAACATGGAGCCTGCGTGCTGGCTGCATCACGTGTTACATTCTGATGCATTCCGTCTCACTATCTTGTTTTTATTTATGTTTCATAATTTTTAGTGTGGTCCTGCAGAATGTTTTAATGGTTGGTTTTATTGTACGGTCCCCACAGTCACTTTGTGTGAGATGGGCAGCCATATAAATTTGATAAAAATAAAAAATAAAATAAATAAAAACTCTAAAGTTGTTAAATATGTGAGAATCAAAAATATATAAAATATGATACAGTCAGCTCCTTTGTTTCTCTCTCTATAAAAACGCTTCAATTATATAGCAAAATCTCTATTTTTGCACTGATACAGAATTTTGCTTGTATTGCTTTCAGGACAATGATTTGGTAACTAACTGATTGCAATTATTTTTATATTGCAGTCCACTCATGTTGCTAGAGCCAGCTTCCAGGTTGATGCTTTTGGATCTTCCTTCATCCTAGATATAGAATTAAACCAGTAAGTATATTAATATATTCATTTGATTTGATTTCTTTTTAAGCATAAGATGTAGTATACTTTTAAAAATACTTTCCAGTATTGCTCTTTGATATCACTTTTAACGTAGTGTGATGTTATTTGAAACTTACAAATTACCATTCTGTTCAGGGCATGGCCTGACAAGCTGATGCTGCAACTAAATATGGATGTTTTTACCATCCAGAATTGGTTAACAGTAATTTAGCTGTCAAGTTAATAAATTGCAGAAAGACAGTTTGGTATAGTGGTTAAGGCATCAGGCTAGAAACTGGGGGACCATGAGTTCTAGTCCTGCCTTAGGTACAAAGCCAGCTGGGTGACCTTGGGCCAGTCTCTCTCAGCCCTAGGATGATGAAGGCAATGGCAGACCACTTCCAAAAACTTGCTAAGAAAATTTCAGGGGCTTGTCCAGGCAGTTACCAGGAGTGAAAAACTGACTTGAAGGCACCAAAAAAAAAAAATTAGCTGACAAGTTAATAAATTGTGGACATATTGCATTATGTGCATGTTCTACCAGCGCATGCAAATCTTCTTGGGAACTTGCTTGTTTGACAGGTGAATAATTGCTAAGAGGAAAAGAGATGGGTGTAAAAGTGTAAGAAACAAAATACCTACAATATATTTGGGCAGCCCAGTCTTTTTCCTTGCTTTTTGTTAACAGACAACTGTAAACCTGTCTTAACTTTTCTTGGCAAACAGTCTATAACATTTATATTGAAGTGTCATGTAAACTGTAAATCAAAAACACATTTTACCATGCAATACTAACAGCTAAACAAAAATGAGCAACTTCAGTAGAAGCGGTAGCAGTGAAGTAAATTGTTATACACTTAGACTTAGTGAATCCATGAAAACCAGGAAGTCAAGTGAATTGAGCACTGACCAAGGGGTCCTGGAAATGTTCTGGTCTGCCAGTCAAGGTCATTGATAAACAGTGTATGTAACACAACTTGAAATGGTTTGCAACTGCTCCCTTTTGGATGTTTTTTAAGCTTCCATTTAGCCTACATTCCAGGGCTATCCAGGCCAGACCCTACTTAACTTCCAAGAGTCCAGGGATGGCTAGAAGCTGCCACCTTCTGAGGCTAGTAAAACCAAACAAGGAACAAGTCAAGAAGCCACAAATAAATCAGAAAGTTCCACTCACATAGTGTGCCAAGTCACAGTTCATTCAATAAGCCAACAGCAAATCACGGTTTATTTATTGTGTACAGCTGTGGAATTACCCCAAATACAAGCATTTCCAAGGATCGCAATTGACATTTGCTGCTTGTTATCAGTGTCACAGTGGAGACCACTTGGGGATCAAAATATATTGTGAAAAAGAAATCCAAGGTGGATATGTTGTATATCCCTAACTGGAATACATCTGGAAGGCATTAGATTGGACAAAGCTTGTTTAGATTAACTGTAGAACAGGATTTGGATATAATAGTTATAGCTAAAAAAAAAGAAGAAAAATGTGGAGGAAGGAAGATTCATGCAGCCTTATTCCCAGTTAATTGAGACATAAATACATTGTTTTGCTCTTCTCCTGAGCAAAACATTCATATGACATATTGGAACAACCCATACTGCTGTCTTGGTGGCACCCATAGTATTGACTTTTTTGGTCCACATAGTCCTTTCTTTCCAAGGCTTAACATACTCTGTAACAGCAAAAATTAAGAGTTTTAATTTAAGGATAGAGTAGGGTTATACTGAGCATTGATTAATAAACTAAATCTGTAAGAATAGTTGACAGATTTAATTTGCTCACCCACTTAGTAAAGGTGTTTTCATGTGTGTTATCAGTTCTTTACTCCATGGAAATCTGTGAGAAGTACAATTTTAGCCATAAAATATGGCTATGTGGCTGTGTGTCTTTAGCTGTATCTTTGTGGAATGTTGCCTTAAGTCTTTGGACAAATTCAGTCTACATGGGAAGCATGATAGCAGTTACTCAGTAAAGAAATTTTACCAATTTTGTAAATAACAGCAACATAGAGCTCTGTGAACACTTGGAACATTTTGTCTCTTGTGGAAGGCAGCAATTTTAGCTAAATCCAGTATTACTGGGTTTTAAAGATTCTCTGACATTTATTCTAGCACACTGGTAATCTCTCTTATAAATATCTGTCTCTGAGGGTCTTTTTTCCCCTCATATTTTGTGCCTTTTCTTAGTGGGACTTTTTTCCTAGTATATCATATGGCTTCTTGGCACATACTTCAGTACTATTTAGTAAGAGAAAAATATAGAAAGAGAGAGAGAGATTCTTTGTTTAGAATATGATGTTCCCCATGTCACATATGAATTTGTATATCTTTTTCAAATATTTTTTTCTGACAACTATCTTTGCCATATTTCAAAGCATAAAGGAATTGCTTTTTTAAAAAAAATATACTTACAGAAAAGCTGCTGTTAAAGTATATTATAGTTTCCAAGTAAGCTGATTTTAGGAGATTTATAGATTTATTTTTAAAACTTTTTCTCTTATGTAATCTGCTCTAGCAGTCTGATCACAAAGAAGTAATCCTACTTGGTATATTAAGAAATATAAGAGCTACCATTTCACAAATGTGTGTTATTTTGGTGAATGAAATATTTTTAAAATGTATAGTATTTAACTATATGTTTGCATAGTGTATAGATGTAAAAAAAAAATCAGTTTCATTTTTGCCAGTGTCAAGGGTTATTTCATTATTTAAAATGGTCCTTTAAGCTAGATACAGGATTAAATTAAAAATAACAACTCTTATCTACAGATTTGCCATTCAAAAAACATAATTTATATTTAAATTGCACTCATACATACAGAAACTATTCTTGCAAGTTTAACCAAATCAAATCACATCAAATCTTTATTATGGTCATAGACCAGCATAAGGAGGGTGGGGTAGAGTCAATTAAAAAGCATAAAAGATACATCAGAGTTTATTAAAAAAAAAGTTTTGAAAAGCTAAAAGATATAAAACAGAAAGTATATATAAAAAACAAGTATCTAAAAGGATCTAAAAAGGGGGGATAAGAGCATTAGATGGGTGTAAGCATAAAGGTTAGTATATGGCAGACTACATCAAGTTATAGAGCACTCTAGTATGACAAACTAGATGCTCATTAAGTCTAGTTTATGGCACAGGCCATCATCTGATGAATTTTAATTGCTGCTGCGATTATATGTTGTAGCAGGGTTGGTACCTGAAAGCAGCAGGGAGGTGTAAAATGTCCTGTGCACCCTGGGTATTTATGCAGGAATGGTGAGATGAGGCTAGTAGGAATGTCTCTCTAATACAGGCACTGGAGAAGCACACGCTCAGTTGTTTCTGTGTGTCCAGAGTCACAGGGGCATTGTCTCTCCGGGTAAGGGATCTTCCTGTATCGGCCTTTGAGGACAGCTGAGGGGAGAGCGTGCAAGTTTAATCAAATTTGTTTGTTAAGAAGTGCATATGAGAACCATACCTGGGTTTTGAGGGGTTTTTTTACTATTACGAGTTTGCTGTGATTGAAAAGCAATTTTCAGTTACTTTTCTAAAAAAAAAAAAAAATTACAGCAATCTTTCTAATTGCTAATACATTTAGAATAAACAGAAAATTGCAACAGCTCTTTAAATACACCTATATGAGCAACATCAAAACATCTGAATGTAATTTTCCTGTTTATGTAACATAGCATATTTTGCAACTCAACACTAGCTTTTATTTACAAAATGATTACTGTTTTTCTGATGACACTATTTTTACTCTTTGAAAAACACAACTCTGTTGGAATTAAATAAAATAAGTGCTATCTGTTTTACTTAAATTTAGGCTTGAATCTTAAATATTGCATCTTTATGCCAAAAGGTGGATACTCATTTATGCCTTTAACTTGTTCCTGGACCAGATGTAAACTTCCAACAATGGAGAGTGATTAAACATATTAACATGTACAGTAAGTAATGTTATTAGAAGCAACCTTAATGTGTTTGTGTTGATGTTCTCAAGTTGCAAAAGTTACAAGGGGCATAATTGGCTTTAGTAAGTTTAAATAGCCAGAAGTCTCCTATTTATGCAATCTTTTGGAGTCAGACTAATGGAGAGGGTTGGGAGTTTCTCCTTCTGACTGCTGCCTTACAGAATCTGTTTTCTGCATGCACACAAACACTTACAGAATACTGTAGTGTGTTTCATCAGGGAATTTCTTGGGATGTGGCACATCCCTCGTTGCCCATGTTTAGGTGCTAGATGCTGAATCGTTAATACCGAGGTCCTCAACCTTTTTTGGAATTGTGAGCACATTTGGAATTTTAAGAGTATCTTGGGCATACCCATAAAAAGGCCTGCTGTGGTTGCCATGGGCAACCATAAAATACCTATTTGCTGGGTATTATCTGCACATGAATACTTGCACAGACATACATCCTTGGAGCCACCAAGAAAGTGAAACAACTATGCATGCCTGCAAGGCCAGTTGGGGACAGCCTTTTCAGTGTCTGTGCAAGCCTTCCAAAGGACACAATTACTTTAACACTTCAACCAGAGGTGTTTTCCCACGTACAGGTAGTCCTTGCTTAACGACCACAATAGATACCAGAAAATTAATTGTACGGTGGGTGGTTGTTAAGTGAGTTACGCCTGATTTTATGACCTTTTTTGCGAATCATTGTGGCTGTTAAGTGAATCACATCAAGTTAATCACATGGTTCCCCATTGATTTTGCTTGCCGGAAGCTGGCTGGGAAGTTTACAAATGGCAATCACATGACCTCGGGACGCTGCAACCTTTGTAAGTGCAAGCTGGTTGCTAAGTGCCCGGATCGTGATCACATGACCGCAAGGGTGCTGCAACAGTTGTAAGTGTGAGGGCCAGGTGTAAGTCCTTCTGTAAGTCCTTTTGTTCAGCACCATTGTAACTTGGAACAGTCACTAAATGAATGGTTGTTAAGTGAGGACTACTTGTTCTTCCATGCTCTGCAGAGCACCTCTTCTGAATGCTTTGCACAGCTGGCCATTTGCCAGAA